GAATGCATCTATGTTACGTACACGATCATGAATACGTATAATCATATGTTTACATGTGCACATACATAAACACACATTGCATACACCTGCGTGGTTCTATATGTATAAATATGTGTATATATATATATATGTATGTATTTTATTGTAGCTGAGGCAGTGCCTGGCAACATGTTCGATGGCGCCATGCCAAGCACAGCCGCCCGCCGGTGCCTGCCTGCAAGAAGGATGGGCATTGCGGTCACGGGCGCATGGGATGCAGGCATCCTGCCGAGGCTTTTGGTTGCCCCCAGTTTTTGGGATCAGCTCTGGACGACCATTTCGCACCAGGGATGAACCCCACTGAAGCTGGGAACCACCTGCCAACTGGTGGATTCTGTCCAACCACAAGCCTTGAGGGGGACCATGCGCTTTCCCAACATGGCAGCCTCAAAAAGACCACTGAAAGGAGTTCCAATGCCATGAAACAGGCTGGAGGAGCCCATCCTGTGAACTCTTCATCCATAGATTCTGGTGGATTTTTTTTTGGATGTTTCTCATGAGAATCGGCCCAACATGGCACGGGTTTCTGTTCGCCTCCCCTGCCCCCCAACATGGCACGTGCGTCCGACTTGGGCTCTGGGGGCCGCAGGTGGCATTCAATCGCCCCTTACTGTACCCCTGGGTTGAACCATTTGTTCAATAGAGGTATTTGGGGAACGCTTCTTGCGGGTGAACCCAATTTTTGGTGGGGAATTTAAACCAAAAGGGACACCGAATGCTGGATGGAACCAAAGGCTCATGTTCCAAACGTGTGATATTTCGAGTTTTTTTTTTGCCAGCTGCGAGTGTCCGCACCACTGCTGTCGAACCTGGATTTTATCCAACGACCTGGGAATCCCCCAGAAATATCTTGAAGTGGCGGATTTCCCAAATAGAACGCCACCCCGGAAGGGGCTGATGGCCCAAGCCCACGAGCGTTTTGGCCAACAGCTGTCGCTGGGGAAAGGGTAACCCAGGGTTGCTGGAAAGACCTGGGGTAGACAAACATGGCCCGTGCAAGGAAAGGAAACGAAACCAATCTCATTTCCCACTCTTGTGGTGGTTCTGGTGTGGTCATCTTTCTGCATCGCTTACGACAATTCCCAAACCACAAAATGAAGGATCGCAAGTCCAGGAGAAGGACATGCATGGTAAGCTCGTTTCACCCAGGTGAGCTCGCCGTCAGGACGGATCTTTTCGGATCGACTCGCGGATCCAAGCTGCGGTGTGTCGGAGGCTTCCGGAGTGATTAAACCTCATTTACCGCCAAACCGGTTTTCCAAAAAGTTTAACGGGGAGTCTAGACTGTAAACCAGCTTGTAGTTGGAGAATGTTTGGACCTCACATGCATCCCTTCAAGCACCGCATGTAAGGAAGCTGTTCGAAACGCGCCTTGCGCTGGATGCCCACTGCAGACCAGGAGTCCTGCGGGCACTGCCTGCGAAGTGGCGATGCAAACCACTGGCTTGTCCAAGCAGGAGCTCACCCCACAGGTGGCTTCCTGTTGGGGATTCCTTTGGTGGATTTGTTTGTTGCTGAATTCCTGTGGATCCCCTCGAATTAGCGCAAACCCAAACAGGTTGCCCTCCAAAAACGGGACACCCATGTCAAACGTCGGGAATCGGCTTGTGTACTTAAGGGATCCACTAGGAGCCCTTTCTGGTGACACCTGGCAGCTCGTGGCGCCCGAGGTTGGCTTAGCACCCTTCACCTAGCTTCAAGTCGGAGAAAATCGCGGGGTTGGACGAGTCAACCCACAGTGTCCCCTTATGGGCCAAAACACACTTTGGTTAAACCTACCAAATGTTGATGTCCTAGGGGGGCAGCCCAGGCTTTAGTTTGCTCAGCGTCAGCACCTCAGAAAGAGCCGAGCAAAAGTGTGCATGTTGGCATCCTCAAGGATCCCGGCACGCGTCGAATTGGAGGGAACCTTTAAACCAATGGTGGTTTCCCTGCAAGCCAAGTTCAACAAATCCTCAAACAACACCCGCCCATTGGAGCTTCGAGGTCTTGATTCGATGGCAAGGCGCAGCTCAACATACTGGGTCGGAAGTCAGAGAAACCCACGTCGGAAGTCAGGGACGTCCCGGCGATTTTGGCCCATCTATGGACGGCTGAAGTATTGGCAATTGGCCCATCCCATGGCAAAAGCCGCAAAAGCATCGAGTCCTCCGACGCACATCCGACGCACATTAGTTCATGGAACCATCGGAGAAACTAGCTCTACCCTTTGCGGGCCGGCAAGTCTCAATCTCTGGGGGTTGGTTCCGTATGCATGCAAAACAAATCCAAACAGCCCACCAAATCCGGCATTCTTCGACCAGCCAAGCCATCCCCCGACTGTAAGGGGGCAGGGGGCTGGGGGCCCCCCATCCCATGTACCTAGTCTTCCCAAAGGGAACTAGAACCAGAAAAGGATTTCCTGGGGTCACCCTCCCCCAATTCCGTTAAGGTGGTTGGGAATACCAAGGCGGAAATTCTCAAACCACCTCGCCATAAGGATCCGCTCCGGGCCTGCAAGCCTCTGCGGACGTGAGCCCTGCCTGGAGCAATCTGGGGCGTCGGCTGGCAAGAGTTGAAAATGAGTACCGAACTGAGTTTAAGCCCCAACCCGGGCTCGCAAAACGGGGGAAAAAACAGTTCCAAGGATTTGAGGTTTCCAAAAGCGACCCTTCAAACAGGATTGGTGCCTTTGAACACATCTTTCTATTTGTGCACTCTGCCCATTTGTTACAAAAGGCATGTGACGTTCGTGCTTACTCTCAAGAGCCTTGCTATAATCAACGAACAAACACCTGTGCGTAACAAGTGACCGTTTCCTGCTCTCCATGTAAGGGACTACGAAGGAACCCAAAAGGGCAAGAAGGCAAAAAAGGCAAAAACGGGCAGTTTAAGTCTGCCAAAGATCTCTTTTCGCGGTATTACGGCATTGGACCCGCTTTTTGTAGCGGGGTGCGCAAGTATAGAAAGTCTGGTGCCTCCAGCAGGACCTGTGACTGCTTTGGGCCCCGTAATCATAACAGTTTTTCCTGGAGCAACCAGAGCCCATGCCCTTTTGATATATATATATACATATATATATATATGATATATCCATGTCTTGGACTTCAGATCTCGGTTCAAAAGCTGGCCCCAGGCTACCGATGTCAATGCATAAATCCGGCCAACACCCAGGGAACACCGTTGCTCAAACGGGTGAGGGGAACCCACCCAAGCCCTTTTAATTCAAAGGTGTGCTTTGCTTAGGCCCCAACTCAAAGGCTTTCATACAGGTTTGGGAACCTTTGATTAGTTTTTGTTCGTGGGCCGGCGCTTTGGAATCCCTCAATATGCACTCGCAATACTACGGCAAGTATTGGCCATACGACCATACTAAGCTATGCATTGGCTCAACTGAAGCCCATGCCAGAAAACCGACTAAACAGGAACAGCTGACTGTTGGCACTGCTTGAGGGGGGAGGGTCACTTGTAAAATCCAGGCGCACAGTACGTGCAACATGGTATGCATGCATGCTTGCCTTGCCCTGCCTGAGAGCTGTATCTGCCAGCTGTGCACGGTCGACAAGCCTGGGCTGGGCATAGTGTTGGTGTTGGATCCGGACAAGACTTTTGTATACTTTTGTTCTATTGCTCCGCGACCCATCTATAGCTGCACAGGCCAGTCTCAGCAAAGCAACCTGGGCACTCTTTTACACAAACCCCCAGGCGCTCTGCGAGCCGAGCCATGAATTGGGCCAAGGAAAGCCGAAGCCGTTGGCTGATTCCAGGTCGGGTTACCTCCCCCCTTGGACAATCAAAGCATGTCATGGCCCATGGCAGCAGCCCCCCCGTCCCTCTTCTAGCTAGCCCGCTCCATGTTGATCAAATTTGCGGTCATTTTCTTGCTAGCTGCCCATGCGGAGACCACAGGTTCAGATTTCAGGGTGACTCTCCGAAACCGAGTGCCCTTAAAACAGCTGGTGATATGAAGTTGTAAACATAGCAAACTTACCTTTGCGTATATACATATGCGCCCGAGTGTGTTTTAAGGAACCCGGCTACAGGCAAGGATTCGTCGAGCATGTCGGCAAGCTGTCCCGGCAGCCATTTTTCTAAGCTGCCGCATTCTCAAAAATAAAGCAGGTCATGTGAGTGTGTCTTGGAGTGAGGGTCCTACAAAACTGGTTGACGTCTGCTTGGCTTCGTCCTTGAACCCAAAGCGGTGGGAGATACCAATGATTCACAAGGCAAATTAGTTGAAACCAAAGGCATAAATAGGATTCAGCATGGCCACTCAAAGGAAGACATCCTGGAATTGAGTTCTGGGTTCTGCCACTTCAATAGTTATCAGTTTGCCGCGTCTGTGGCGCGGCGCAATCGGCTGCTGGGACAAAGCCTGCTCTGCATGCGTGGTGCGTACCCGGGTTGTCCATTGCTGCCCGCCGGCAGGAAAACAATGACTCCTTGAATGCCCGCCATGCCTGTTGCAATGAGACCCTGCTGAGTGTCATAGAAGAGGCGGGGCCAATTGCGTGTGTGTGTCCAAAGGGTTGCCACTACTTCATCAAACGCCATCTCTTGTTCTTGGCTTGCACCAGGAACAGTCAGCTGAGTCGCTCGCAATGGACGACAGGTCTCCGAGAGATTCTTCAAGGCTGCTAGTCTGCTGGATCTTTGACCCAGCTGGAAGATGAATGGAACGTGACCAAATGAATGGAAGGAAGCCAAAGGAACATCAAGCATTGATCGCTTGCAAGGACACCAGCCACAGGTTTCTGGCTCCCTCCCACATCGGTCGAATTCAAGCCAAGCCAAAGGATCAACGGCTCGCCCTGGTCATCTGAGACTTGGGTGTCTCTTGGAAGGTGCCATGAAAAGGGCCTGTTTGGCGTTGACTTGAAAAACAAAAACAGCATCTCTGTTTTTCTGCTAGGAGGGAGGGGGGGGGGAGTTGGGCTCTCTGATTTTGAGACACACCCAGGGTCCTGGCATGATCGGCACATCTAGCAACTCACACTTTGGACTTTGTCTAGATGGCGCTTGGGCACGTCCGGCGACGAAACCCGCATCTCCAAATCTCGCCTTGGCAAAAAAATGCAGCGCGTCTGACAGATCGAGCGCGATTCATTGCGTTCTCCCACACGGAAACTTGGCTTAAGTCGAGCAAACGCACGAGATCCATTAACATAATTCACCAACCAACCAACCAACCAACCGACCGACCGACCGACCGACCGACCAACCCACCAACCAGCCCACCCGCCCACCCGCCCACCCACGCACCCACGCACCTACACACCCACGCACCCACCCACGCACCCACGCACCCACCAACCCACCCACCCAAGCCTGCAAGGGTATTGGCTTTGTTTATCCTTCAGCCCATCAGCCGCAGCCCCAAACGGTCCGGAAGCTTAGGCTCACGGCCTGGTACGTACCACAGGAAAGGGGAGGGTGGGATGGGGCTGGGGAGGTCCTAAGATTTAGGGGGCGGGGGGGAAGCAGAAGGGGGGGGGCTTAGATGCAGTGAGTTTCGGGGGATGGATGCGCTTGGTGAGATCCAAGAAGCAAACGCCCTTTATAAGCCACCCACGCACTCCTCACATTGCAGGGATCTCCTCCCGTACTTCCAACACTTGGAATCAGGCACATGCCGAGAGCCCGGAACTCGGCATTGCGAAACGGAAGATCACTAACATGAGACCTGACTGAAGGCTCGGCAGGAAGACTAGTTGCCTTGAAAAGGAGGGTTTTAAGTGGACACTTTGGAGGGTAATGTTAGGCCTCCTTTATTAATAGAACTCTCCATTATGGAAACTGTTTTCTAACTCGGAAACGTTTGACTGTTTTAGGGGCCCTCTATTATGGAAAATTGTTTGGCCGGAAACAACGCTATGGGCAAGCAACTTGGCAAACAAGTCGGGCAAAAAACGGGCAAACAAATCCTGGCGAACATTGGGGGAAATCATTTTCTTGAAGTGGTCCCCAAACCATCAAATTTAGGATAACTTCTTTGCAAAAAAAAGTGCGGGCAAACAGTCAAACAAAGGGGGGTGCCGACAAGAGCGACTGTTTTGGGGCCCTCTTTAGTGTCCAGCTGGTTTCGGGGGTGCTGAAAATTGAAAACCACAGCCTCGGCCTTTTTCTTTTGAAGAAGGGGGCGCATCCTAAGCTCTCCCCAGCTCAAAGGTTAAAGGTTTGAGATCTAGGAAACCGATTGTGCAAGTTGTTCCCAACCATCAAATTTAAGAAAAGTGCGGGCAAACAGTCATACAAATGGGGGTGCCCAAAAAAGGCTCAGATCCTGTTTAATGTGACTGTTTTGGGGTCCTCTTTAGTGTCCAACTGGATTGGGGATTGCTGAACAAAAAACGATCCTTGGCAGTACTGAAGTAGAACTGGCAATACTAAAGTAAGCACTGGGAAGCCGAGAGTCAGCCTTGGCGATACTAAAGTAAGCACTGGGGATCTGAGAGTCAGCCTTGGCAATACTAAAGTAGAATTGGCAATGCTAAAGTAAGTACTGTACTACTGGATATCTGAGAGGGAGCTTTGGCAATACTAACGTAGAATTGAAAATACTCAAGTAAGTACTGCCCAGAGTCCCGCCGACTGGTTCCGCTGTTCAGGGGGGGTGACATTAAAGAGTGTCCAACATTCAACTATATTTGCCGACGAGCTCATATGAGGCTTCACCGCTTCAAGGCCAGGGCCAAGAAATTGCCAAGGGATCAGTTTTCCGAAACCCGGAAAACTAGATTCACCAGGCCGTTCCACGAACACCCACTTGCAACCCAAGCTGCTGTCGCTCAAAGATCTCCTGACGTCATCCAGCCATGTGCCAGCGATTGAAGGGGCATCGAGAAGCAAACTTGCACCCGCTGATGCAAATGACACGTTGGTCCCCCTAGCCATAACCCACTCGCACGCCACATGCGGCGCCAAGTTTCCAGCCCTGAGACTGCAAGTTTTTGTTCAAAACCCGGCGTGCTTCCTCATGTTGCGGTTTACTGAGAGGTGAAGGCACTCGTCTCAAATGCATAAGGGGCGTTTCACCTTGAACAGTCTGCCAGTTTCATAAGGGATAGTTTGGTGGATACCGCGAATATGCAAAACACGAGTCAGATTTGCGGGAACTCGTTCATCTTGTGAGCCGTTGCCGTCCGCAGTACTTTGTTTGGTCAAACCACGTGCCCTTCATGTCTAAGGTCGGATGCGTCCTGGGCATGGGGGTAGCGTGACCTATTGAGAAGGGCATCCCTTGCAACCAAGCGCCAAAGCCACCATGCCTAGCAAATGGATGCTCTCAACAGTTACCTAACAGGGGTCAAAGTGCGAGATTCGCCATGGGCAAACTTGTGTACCCAATGGTCAACAAAAATAGCCTGTCAAATACAATGAATCACCAGGATTAAACCCGCAACCCCTGTCCTTTTCCTAGTTTTTCAGGGAAGCCGTGCGTCTTGAGGCGGAAACCTCACAATCTTTCAACCAGAAACCGCCCCGACACGCGTCCTTCAGGGCGTGTGCGAGCGCGGTGGTGTCGTTGTCCGGCTCTCCACAGCGGGCCCAGTTGCCGCCGGTCATCTCCAGCTGCAAGCGGTCCCCAAAGAACCGCAACCTCGAGGCTCGCTCCAACCCAACCGGTGAGGCAGGCTGAACTCTTCTTCTTGAGGCTCGGCACCCTTGAAAGTGAAGGGAAGCCAAAGGAAAACCAGGCTTTTGCTTGGTCTGCCTATTCTGACACATTCCCCACTTCAAGTTCTCGAGGAACTTTGGGTTTTGGAAACGGGTTTAGAAGCCCAAATGGACATTGACGGACACCGCCTCCCTACACTGACTGAGGCAAAGCCCCCTGAAAGTCTTAGCTCCACTGCGCCTTTCGTCTAGCCTTCCCCGCCGAATCTTGGGTCACACGGAGACTGAGGCGCCGAGAGCGCACCATGCAGGTCTGGAAGACGAAGCGGTTCTGCACCGCAGCCACCTGGGAAGCTGCACCAATGAGTCGGCCGGGGGTCAGTGAAGGAAGGAAGGACCACGGACAGGAAAGGGAAGGGAAGGAGAGATGTGGGCAACCGGCCTCTTTTTGCTCATGACTTGCGAGTAAGGAAGCGGAATGATCTCCCGCGAAAGCCAACAACTACACCCATGCCCACATGAGTAACAAAGTGCAAGATCAATCTGGGTATGAATGATTGAGTAGCCTGGTCGAAATCCATTGGGGCCTGATCGCAATCTGTCATCCGCATAATGCTTAATCTGTTTGGCAATCTTCATTCACAATCCGTGGCTAAAGCGTGCGATTTGAAACCTTATGCCGAGGCATTGGAAACCCACGCAACCCACAATCCGCAACCAGCGAAGCACACAGTTCAATCCGTAAACAGAGCAATCCGCAAGCCGCTACTTGGGGATTGTGCGCAGTTTGAACAAGCTTATTGACACTTACGAGCAAATTCAGCGAACCAAGCCAGGAATGCTGTCACTGCTAAACAACTTTGAGAAGGTACACATCGCATGCACACGCATGCCCCGTGAGAAAACAAACAGAATAAAAACACAACACCTAGAACCTCCAGGGGTGCATGTTTCTGTCGCCTGCTGAAAAAGCAACATGCTGTGTCGCGTGTTCCAAAAATAACCTTGTCCTTTTAATAGTGCTGCTTCAAAATCTTGCCAGAACGTGGTCGGCAAATGTCGCTTTTGGGTCGGGGAATGTCGCCTTTGGGTCGGGCAAGGCCTTTTCGTCTTCATCCTGGTGTCGCAAAACAGCAAAATCCGCAAAAATGCACTGAGGCAAACAAATGTGTCGTTTTCACCAACAGGAGCCGTTGGCCCAAACAGCACAACAAATGCACACGTAGGAGGGCCCAGGTATCCTGCCAGGAGCTGCCCAAGGATTTGTCACCAATTTGGACGCAGTGTGTACCCTCCGCCAGACTAACATGGAAGCTGCCAAGGTCCCTCTGGAAGACTTGGCTCCATCAACAGAGCACTTCGGGGACATGTTAGTCTGAGGGAGTGCGGGCTCAGACCCAGTTGATGTAACAAACATCCTCCGGTCACTGTCAAGCCGAGGTTTGACTGGCTGCGATGCGGTGATGCTGATGAACTTAACTCACGTGTCCCAAATACCTGCAAGGGAAAGCTCAGGCCTTGCCTGAGACAGCTTTTGCCTAATGAAACATATTGTTTCTGCTGCATTGCTGGTGAAACTGAGGTTGCAAGAGAATGTCGAGCGACATCCCAGATTTAGCCGTTGTCTTGGGTGCTTTTGTCCGGGCCTTGTGGCTGCTTTAGCTCAACAGGGGTCATGCCACAAACAGCTCCCCAGGTGCAACCCGTGGGCCTGTGCCCCAGGGCCAGATCAAAAGTTAGGCAGCGAGACTCGACTGATATTGATTATTCTTTGGTTCACATCTGGCGTCAACACAATGTTGATTGTTTTTTAGAAGTTAAACTTGGCAAGCAAACGGTTTGCCGATGAGCACATTTCCTGTAGATTCGTATGATTTGGGGATATTTGGGGACGCCCAGCCGCAAACTCTGCCATATCGGAGAGATCCACTCGCACCATCTTCCGGTCGCTGTCTAGGGCCATGTGGGCCAGGGCGGGTTGCAGGTTGCTGAGAAGGCTCACCAAGACCTAGCGCTTGCTCGCCCTAAAACCACGGATAGGTGGCCTCCTTGACCTGGTGGCAAGGCCCAAATAACCCACTTGATCAATTCGATTCAGGATTCTTCCAATAGATTGTGCAGGCGAGGCTGTGGGCAAGCTTGGCTGACACACCAGTGTGGTATTGCAGCTGCTCCCACAAGTTCGAACTCACTGACGTTGCTCGCTTGCAGATTAAGATTGAACTCAACAAACCATCAGTCTCTGAGGAAACTTCGTTTGGGGTGACCCCCTTTTTGGGTTTCACGTCAATTTGTACGGGAGCTACAGGCACATCTGAGACAGACTGCGCGATGTGAGTGGTCAAGCTGGTTTGTGTGCCCGGAAGTCAGGCATAGAAAGGACCCGGTCGAGTAGGAATTCTGCACGTTGCTGTCCTTGATTCCTGTTACCTGTTGCTCTTGGTGTTTCGTGGCTTTTGGGCTCGGCTTGGTTCTGTTAATTTTGGGCCTAAACGGCCTAAACCTGACCATCCTGCCTTGATCCTAAGCCTGCTACCTGTGTTTTGCATGCGCATGCGCCCGGCTTTAATTACTCCCTCTGAATCCCGCTGGCATTTGGCAGTCAACCGCCAAGCTCTGGAGCCTGAACATGGTCACAATTGGAGCGCCCTTGGATCAGGATATCTGCGCGATTCTGCGCGTTCCCTGGAAATCACCATGGGGTAGCAACCAGTCTGCCCTGAGCGTTCCTGGAGTTGGCAGTGACCACTCCCTCCCTTCGCAACAAAGAACTGGGGGGCAGCACAATTCACAACACCGAGATGGCCAAACATGGGTGTGTCTTGAAGGGGGTCACCGAGAATATCCATTCTGGAACGGTTGTCCCCTTGACTTCCCTTTGAGAAAAACAAATGCTCAAGCCTTAAGCGCTTCGCTTTGCTGGCCGCGCCTCCAGCAAGAGGGTCAACCCAATCACGCGGTTTCTGTGGGCATTTGACACCTGAGAGCAAGGCAGAAGTGGGTGGCTACAACCCGATCGCATGCGAGAACTTGCAAGGGCACGGCCTTGGAATTCGCAATCGAAACCGCTGATCAAGTTGCAAGGTCTTGGGTTCGCGGCTTGGAGCATCGTGCGTGGCTTGCGAAAAGCATGGCCAAACATACGACGTCCATGGCTTGAGAGGTCCTAAGCCTGAGGGTTTGATGATGTTTGATGTCCGGAGTGTAGCAGCCCTTCCAGTGGTCTGCGCTGAATTGGGACTACTGCTCAACAACTCCCATCACCTATCAATACCGGTTTGCCACTCGGGAGAAACCCTGAAATGGAGCGCTTGCGCTTGGCTTCCCTGAAAACCAACTCTAACTAAAAGGGTACCCTTAAAACACACAAACTCATGCCCATGCATACCTCCCTTTCTCTATCTCTATATATATATAAAATAATATATATATATAGATATATATATATATATATATATATAGACCAACATATTTATTTATATGCCCTGGCCCAAGCACCAATGCCGGCAGGAACTCCAATATGAAGGCCCTCTCTTCGATACCGTCTGCCAGCAGGTGTTGTGTGAGAACGGTCTTCTCCCGGGTGCCTGGCCGCTCGGCTCATCCCGAAACATCCCCTTTCGGCCTGCTTCGGGCGCTGGAAGGCTTTTGTTCCCGAATATTTGTGCGTCCAATGGAACAAAAACAATCCCTGTACGTGGAGGAGCCTGTGCCTCGAGCTGATGTTGCTGTCCCACCTGGCCGGGGCCTGCCTGCCTCCCTGACGCTGCTACAGAAGCACTGGTTCAATGTGATCTCAAGATGCAGGCGCCGAAAACTCATTGATGAGATATTATTGCTTGGAGCTACCAAGCGTGAACGGCCAGCTCAATGAGCATTGTGCCCAAACTACGTAGTGCCAAGCACAACAAAATGACCGGTGCTCAGTAGGGAATGACATTCAGCAAAAAAAAAACGGGATTTCGAACATGCCAAGGTCGTGGCCAGACACCGAAGCCCTCATTGCTTGTCCCAACCCCAAGGGCCCGGGACAACTTTTCGCAGGAGAAATGGGCCCGTCTTTTTTGGAGGGTAATTACTCTTTTTTGAGTGCGTTGAAGAGAAGCCAAGGGAAAATACCATCATTTTTTGGGGAGCCCATTTCAAGAGACACCCAAACAAGCTGAGCAGAGGAATCGACCTCTTAGGCCGGGAAGCAAAACCTGACAACCCAAACCAACTCAAACCAACCTGAAGCAACCTGAACCCAACCCGAACCAATCCCAAACCAACCCGAACCAACCCAACCTGAAGCAACCCGAAGGCACGTGCCAAAGCGAGGCCGCAAAGCCGCCTACGGCATCCCAGGAGGCCCGCAGCTGGGCGTAGCCCTCCGCGCTCTGGAGCCGCGCCAAGACGCTGAGCCGCAGCAGAGCCAAGTCCTCTCGTCGAAAACGGCTGGCACTGGTCACCCCTGGCTTTGATCTGGCTGAATTGACCCTTTTTGTTTTTGTTTTTCTACGAAAACAAAGCACAGACTCCAAGCAGCCTCGAAAATGGGCATGGGACCAAATATGGGCGTGTGCAATCGGCTGTTGCAAAACAATATGAAACTGGGTGCTAAACGAGGGGGACGGCCTGGGAAAATCAATCAAGGGGGTCAACAAACACCTGGGTGTTTAACACTGGGTCTGGACAAATGGAACAAATGATCCATCCCCTTTTCGTGTCCAACCGGGGGAACTTTCACGAGTCCCAATTTGGGACAGGGGTGCCCAGAGGAATATGGATGCAGAACCTATGATACGACATGAATGGGAACCCGTTTCGCATGGAACATGAATGCCCCTTGTAAGATGAAAGTGGTTCCCGTTCCAAGGGCATTCCCAGGACGTGTCGTTGAAAATGGGAGTCTCACAGAAACTGGAATGCCCCCAAACTCCTTTCTCGAAAATTGTTCATAGCTCGAGGCGGTCAATCCTCAGATAAGCCTACGAAATGCCTGTGGCTTCTCCTGTGTGAGGGAAGTTGGTAGGCTGGTGCTAGTGCACATACATTGCTGTTCATTGCTGGCCCTAAGTTGTAGTGTGGCTCCGGGCCTCGCAAAACGATCAGAAACTCTACTTGGCTCATTTCTCCCATCTGGAAGTTGTTCTCCCTCTGCAAAAACAAGCGAGCAAGCTCGATACAATGCGCAAAAACTTGGGCCCCTGGTCTCTGAGTTGTCTGGGCTTTGGTTGATCTGAACAAGAGCGCATCCCGAATTTGAAAAAACATTGCGGATTATTAATTATGAGGGGTTCCCCAAAAAGTACAACCTTGTTCATCAACAATAGGGGGTTAATAATTCGGGTTCGTTTCCGTGAATATGTCTAGCATCTCAGCCATTTCGGAAACAGCCAGCAAGCAGTATGCGTCCAGAAGGAGGCAAACATGGAATACCCAATTCGAGCATGCCTGCATGAGTCCCCTTTCAATATCGGCTGAAGCCAAGGGACAAGTCACGCCAAATCGGAAACTACAAGGAGAAAAGGAAAACAGTCAGACACCCAAGCGTCCAGTTGGAAAAAGTGATATTTGAACGCAATTGTAGGACCAAAAGTACTCAGCGGATTCCACCGCCTTTCAACTACAAGGGCAGTGTGGATATCAAACATTTTCATCATTTTCCAAGTGGGCCATCCTCGCTGCTCAAACAATTCAACCATTTGGAGGTATGGGAAGTCCAATTTTCCAAAAAACCTCTCAGGGACGGACCTTGGCCAGACTTAGACGGCTTAAAGTTGACTTGTTCAAAAAAAAACGAAGCAATGAGCCCGCCTCCGTGGTTTCCCGTGGAATGGCCAGCGCATCCGCCCGTGCCTGCGCCCCGTTCGAGCACTTGCGAGGCCCACGCTCTTGAACAAGGGGAACGTAAAGTCACAGTAGTCAATGTCGCACAGTTGTGGATAAGCAAACCCCCCTACAGGGTTCAACAGAGTCACCTGATTAAGAAGGGGATCCTCCAAATCTCCGTTTGGGGTTGACCACTTGGCTCCCATCGCTCTAAGTGGACAGGGGACAGTCTTAAGGCCCGGTTCAGCCACCAAAGGAGATCTCCATTTTGGGCGCCATCGCAATAAAAGCATCTGACCACTTCCTTTGGGGAAGGCGCCAAATTTTTAAAAAAAAGGCGTGAAGCTACTCACGCCGCCCTGGCGCAACAACCCCAGTGACCCAATGTCTCGGCAAGCTGCAGAAAGGAAGCCCCAGTAGATGCCCCTGGGGGTGCTGGTCATGAGCTGCTGCAGCATCTGGATGCCGGCCAAGGTTCCTGCGGCCAGCTTGCGGACACCAAGGCCGTTGGAGGAGTCTGGGCTGCCCGATTTCTGATCCCCCGCCAAAAGTTTGACTTGTCGTGGGATAAATGGAAACTACCACGAAACACCAACAAGCTAAAAGGCTAAGGAGATGAGCCAGCAAGGATTGTTGACCCAGTTTGACCATGGCACATGTGGTCTGCTGCAGTTTCTGTGCTTGCCTCGGTCGGGTTTCAACTCACAAAGCCAGTTGAGCCAGTTTGTCTTGCGGGTGCGGAAAAGTAGGGAATGAGGGAATAAACCTGGGAATTCCCTTGGAAGAAACCACAAGGGATGCTTTACAGGGTTCATTCCCTCATTCCTGCTGAGCACCAGCAGTTTGTTCCACAACTTGTCCAGGGAGGTTAGTTTGCCCCCCCCAGGCTGCACCAACCCAAAACGTGCTGAGAACCTTTCTGGGGGTAGGGGGCCAAAATCCACAGGGTGAGCATCCCAAAGCAACGCCTGTATGGAAGTTGCTCAGGCATGTGCGTCATTTGGGTATGACATTTTGCGGTACCCCCACAAAAAATATACGTGGTTGTCCTTTTGGGTTGGGAGTCCTTTAAAACAAAAAACACCTCAAAAACAACACGCACCCATTTCACCCTAGCTTCACTGTCTTCAAGAAGCTCATCTCAACTCGTTTTGGAGCTGAAGACATCACACTTCCATGCAGGAGAATTACTTGATCGATCGGTCAGTGTGCGTTGCTCGGCTTGACGGGGTGACATGATGTGACATGAGTGTCACTCAAGAAAAAGCTCTGCAAAAAACATTGCCCCTGCCAAGGTTATGGAAGAGTGCCAATGTGCCAAGAAGCAACTCATGGCAATCGATGCGGCCTACCAAATAGCAGAACACATTTTGGGATCGACAGCAAACACTCTTGAAACCTCGCAGCGGCTACGTCTTTGCCTAGTACCATGGACACATGAGAGATCATGGCACGCAATGCAAGCATTAGTATCCGGCACCATCTCCTTCCGCATTCTTTGCATTCATCCACCTTAGCCGAGCACATTCAAGCAAACATATATCGTCAACAGCCCGCAATAAAGCGACATCATGATGCCTGTCTTGCAGAACACTGAAGACAGTGAGCAGGAACGCCCCGGAACAAACCAGGGACGTCAGTGACATCGGGAAACCTTCACCCGAGTTGCATGGTGCAGTCAATGGCACGGGATGGGAGTTTGGCACATAGGGAGCCATCTGCTGAGGGCTTCCTTGAGCCAACATCTATACCCTACAACAATCACAGAAGCTGACAGAAGGGTTTTGGAATACTACTTTCCTTTTGGGGGAGCACTTCCATGATTGCTGGATAGAGGGCACTTGGCAAACTTTGTGCGCCACGATACTTTTCAGGCCTGCAATGAGCCGACCCTTCTGGCCGGCGCTGACCAAACTCAAAAAGTCACTTAAAAGTGACCCCTGTTTACTGAGTGTGACACCCATGGGATGGGAAAAAGAACAACCATCTCTGTCTCTTGTCTGTTTTAATGTTACACCTCCTTTATTAATAGTCCACTCTATTGTGGCATTTTTTTCGTAATTCAGGATCTTGTGACTGTTTTGGGGTCCTCAATTGCAGCAGTTATTCCCCTCCCCCTTTAAAAAATAAAAACAAATGTGCTCTTTTTTGTTTTACTCTCTTGATCTTGTCTACCAGGAGCCTCAAAAACCGATGAAAATGTCATACCTACAAAAAACACGATGTTTTTTGGGAAAATACGATGTTTTCGGGAAACACCGCATTTTCGATTTCAAGCAGTTTCCCATACATTCCTTCAACTCGTCATCCGTTCTCAAAAGATCTCAAAAGCATCATCTCAACCTCAGAATCTCCCATCGCCCTCCCCTTTTGCACTCGCAACGAAATCAGCTTCGCATTCGCCACTCGTCTTTCGCAACTCCAACCTGAAAGAAGGAGGCCGGGGACCCAAATAGTCAAAAGTACCACGGTTTTATGACACTTGTCAAGCAGCAGTGCCATGATGAGGGCGTGCTGGCTTCGAACAGCGCGCAAGCTCAAGCAAAGACCGTGCTTTTGCTCACGACTTCGTTGTTTTCCAGCAACATTCTCGAATTAGCGCATTCGTGGTTGAACCCGAAAAACCCATAGAATTTCCACGCTTTGCCACGCTTTACTACGGGTTCTCCACGGTTTAGCTACGGGTTAGAAAACACGATGTTTTCCAAAAACACGATGTTTTCGGTTGGGCTGCGGGCTTTCTACGGGTTTCTACGGGTTTTCTATGGGTTTCTACGGGTTTTCTGCGGGTTTCTGCGGTTAGCCGCCAGGATCCCGCCCCATTTGCTAAAAAAAACTCAAAATTGATAAAAACAATCTCAAAAGTGTCACCTGGTCTTGTTTTGCACCAAAAGGAGCTTTCGGATTCCAGCACCCCCTTCAAACTGGTTCGGTATGACCTGGCGCCAGTCTTCAGGTGCCTGTTGCTGTGAAAGGTACTTCAAGACTGAAGCCAGCTGCACACCCTGGCTGTCAGGCTCATCAATGTGGTCCTTAGAATTTGAAGCATACTCAGTATAGAGCGTTGCCCTCAGTTGAAATCTTAATGGGTGATGTCTGTGTGAATCCACTCCCGACCCTTGCCTTTGACCCTTTGCTCCAAATGAGTGTTTGGCCTCAGAAGCCCATTTTTAAGGGGTTTTATCAAAAACACGATGTTTTTCCTGAAAACACGATGTTTTCAGAAAATCGAGAAAAAACACGATGTTTTAGTCAGGGTACGACATTTTTACAGGTTCTTGAAGCCCTAGGTAGGGCTAAGCCTCCGATAACATATGGGCCAAACAAACTTGGCAAAGAAGTCGAGCAAAACACCCGAGCAAACAAATCCGGGCAAACAGGATCTTTTGAAGTGGTCCCCAAACCATCAAATTTAAGATAACTCCTTTACACAAAAGTGCGGGCAAACAGTCACACAAAGGGGGGTGCCCACCAGGGGCCCTGATCCTCTTTTAATGTGACTGTTTTGGGGTTCTCTTTAGTGTCCAACGGCTTTTTTGGTTGCTGAAATTATTAGACTCAAGCCTTAGCCTTTTGCTTTTAGGGCGGCTCACCTAACCAAGCTCTTCCCAGCTCAAAGGGTAAAGGCCTTGGATCTAGGAAGTTCATTTTGCCAGTGGCCCCCAAACCATCAAATTTAAGATAACTTCTTTACAAAAAAGTACGGGCAAACAGTCACGCAAAGGGGGGCTCTTTAATGCGATTGTTTTGGGGTCCTCTTTAGTGTCTAACCTGTTTGGGGGTTCCTGAAAAAATGTCCTTGGCAATACTAAAGTAGAATTGGCAATACTAAAGTAAGTACTTGGTTCCACTCCTAGCGAGGGGGGGGGGTGGTGTAAACAGGGTCCAACATTAGGGGACCCCCCAAAAAAAAACAAAATGAAAAAGAAAAAGAAGGCAACCATCTCTCTCTCTCTCTCTCTCTCCTCCTCTCCATTTGCTTTAAAGAACCATGAACTTCACGGGGCCGAACACGGCATCCGAGGTGCGTGGACCCTTGGCCCCCGCTGAGGCCGCTCATGAAACCCAGCAAGAAAAGCAGGTAGAAGCGCAAGTCCTCCCGGCTTGGACCCGTCAAACCCCTCAGTTGATACCAAAGGACCTGGAAAAAAGGCGAACCTTTTGGGACCTTTGCAAAAAGGGGAAGGCCAAAAGGCTTAACAGGTGGGCTTTGAACAACTGAGAGCCAGTTCAGCCAAAATGAGATCACCTTTTTGTGGATCTGAATTTTCCGCTGTTCAAGAAACAGAAGGGGGTCCCTCAAAAGAAATGCGCGAGACAGCAAGGCAGTTTCACCGTGGACCAAATGGACCACTGGGCCTTGGAGAGGAGCGGGCGTGACTCCTCAACCTTAAAAGCCACTCCCACAGGCCCACAGGGATCCTCATTTGGAAGCCACAAGCCAGGTATCAAAAGCAGTCTCGACATTGCCGGACGTACCCTTGGTTTGGCTCGTTCTTCTTGGCATCCCTGAAAGTGACCTGCAAGGTCCAGCCAACATCCCAGGAGACAAGCTGGGCACTGCGTGCTCACCGCATCCTAACCCCGGACCACCCTGAAAGAAGGGAAAACAGGTGTTGCAAGCAAGAACATTTGTTGAGCCTGCTATACACCGATTTATGAATAGTCACTGTATGAGGTGTCCGTACCTGCGGGGGTAGCGGAAACCATCAAAGTATTTCCAGTGACGCTGCAAGCCCTTTGGTGCGCAAAGCCCTCTGGTCCCTTTCTGAAAGCAAAACTAAACACAGGAAACCTCATGGAACCTGACCCTGGCTCCATGCAAGACTTCCCTTTGCTTAAGCCCCCGGGAAAAAACGAGAAAATATGCCCAGTATATAGTGAAGTCGATTCCCGCTAAAACCAAGAAGGAAAAATCTAAAATGGAAGAAGAGGATCGCCTCTGGAAATGGAAGAAGAGGATAATGTGTTTCAAAGGGTAATGGAAGAAGTGCGTCTTTCAAGGACTATGTGTTTCCATTTCCTATTCCAAAACCAACCAAACATATTCCCTTGTTTTGTTTTAAAGGGAAACCAACAAAAAAAAACAAAAAAACAAGGGAACACCAACAACAACAAGGGAAAACCAACACAAACACGGGACAACCACCAAAAACAAGGGAAAACCAACCAGAACAAGGGAAAACCAACAAAAACAGTGGAAAACCAACAAAACAAGGGAAAACCAACAAAAGCAAGGGAAGCCCACCAAAAAACAAGGAAACACCCACAAAAACAAGGGAAAAACCAACAAGGACAGGGAAAACCAGCAAAATGAAACATATTCATTTCAGCGAAAAGAAGAGGATCGCCTCCTCCCCTCGCTGCTGGATGTGATGCTGAAGCTTCACCACGCTGCCGGGCACGTTCTCGGCCTGCAGCATCCTGGGCCGCCCGGCTTGCGCCCAAGGCTCTTACTTCCAAGGGCTGGCTCAGAAATACGTCATGGGGGCTGCGGGGAAAGGGAGGGGGAGGGAGCCCAAAGCCCTTATCAAGCCCTGAATACAGCCTTATTTGGGGCTTATTTGGGCTCCCTCCCCCTCCCCTCCCACCCCAGCCCCCATGATACCCAAAATGGCCTGCCCTGGTAAATGGAAAGGACTAAAACCTGCTGCTCCCTGGTGGTTTAATTTTGACCCATACCCACATGGCTGCAAAGGCCAGGATTGCCTTTGAACAGCCCGGATTTGGATTTTCTCCCAAATAATGGAGTGTAACTATCTAATCAAAGAACTTGCCCCTGTGAGGACACATCAAGGCATCTGCTTCATGGATTTCCCCCTTTCAGCCGTTTCCAAGGGCCATTTGAATCTATTCTTTAGGCCAGGGCTGCAAAACATAAACAAACCAAAAACCGACCTCAACAAAAGTACCTCTGCCATTGGATGTTTTTTCGGCTCGGAAACCTGCAACCCACCAAAAACAATAGACCAAAAAAAAAACGACCCCGGGTTGAGCCCGGGGTAAAAAAAAAAGTTGGCGCTCGGCGTCTGCGCCAGGTTGAAGGCCTCGTGGGTCACCAGCGCGCTGCGCACAAAGTCCATGGCGCTCTCGCTCACAAACTGCACGGAGGGCACCACGTTCCGCGCGCCTGTGGCCGACCCCGCTGCATTTTTTTTTTTTGGAAGGCACCAGGCCGACTCGGTCCAGTAAAAGGGGATAGACTAAGGGCAGCCTTTTTCCAAGATGGCGCCTGATAGGTCATTTCAAATGGAAATTGATCTTCCAGGTAGCTCTCCACAGGTGTGCCATGTCAATGGGAGGAAGGGTACTTTTTGTTCTTTCTGTAGTTTATTGTAGTAGGGGAACCCTCCCCAAAAAAAGAAACGGTAAAAGGGCACCGGCACCTGGCTGGGGGACCTAGATGCCGACAACTCCGTGTGCAGCATACCCTCCCAGCAACGAACATGAAAGTGCACGAACCCCCTTTCCAAGAGGAAAGTTCTCTGAAAACCTGCTGTGAAGCATGCTGCTCAAATAAGTTGCTTCAAAGTTGTTGAGACACATGCAGGGGAGAGCATTAGATTGCCGAACTTTACCGTGGTGCCTATACCGCAGCCGGCTAACTTTCTGAGTCTGGCCGCTGCCAGCATGCTGGTAGGGGCGCTCCCTAAACTTCGCCCTTTGGCTCAACCATCACCAGTTAGGTGAGCCTTTTGGTCAGAACCTCGCATCTGTTGTTTGATCTCCATTTCACCTTTTGGCACTCATGGTCAGAATCCCCGTGCTTTGCCACTTGAAGCTGATTGCTGGCAGGGTGCCAGCCACATGGGGGTCAATGGGCCAAAGGATTCAAATCCCCAACCGGAAATCGTGAGGCGCGTCCCTGGCTACACCTTTCCCATTCACCCACAAAACAAACATCGAATCTGAAATACCACGGGAAATGAAGAAGGGCATCCATGTTGAAGTGTGCACTCTGGGGGAAGGCCGTGGGAAATGGAAAAATAACATGGGAAATGAAGAAGGGCATCTTGAAGCATGTGGAGTTTGGACCTCGAAGGCAAGTCGACTTGCTGCATCCGCCCAGTCGAGCTGCAATCCATAAGGTAAAGGATGGCGCGCTCAGGTCTTCTGCTCGGCTTCGGTATCTGTCGTATGGCCACCTGCGAAACATGGGCTTTCCACATAAGCTATATAAATCAATGAACCCCTCACAACACACGCACGCAAATAGATGAAGAACATGTGGCCTCCATGTGGTTTCACGTAAACGCAAGCCCAGATAACAAGTATAACACATGCCCGCAACTTGCAACGCAACGCTGCAACTGAATGGTGGACGGCTGCAGGTGCGAAACCCAACCCCGCAAGCATAACAAGCCCAGCGCAGAGTTTCGAGTGGTTAAAACAATCCCCGGCCCTTGTCTTCGCGCATCATCCGAGCCGTTGCCAAGCCTTGCGCCAATTACATTTCAAGACAAGATCCTCAAAATACATCCGCTATAAAACATGCATGAGCTCCTTCTACTTGCAAGTGATGTACTGGACCGCACCCCAGAACAGGATCAACTCACAT